TCTCTAGGAGTTGCAACATCTTTGCAAAAGGAAGAAAGGCTGGACCCCAAAGCCCTTCAGAACCATCTTACAGTCCAGCTGAAACTGAAGAAGGTTGTTATTTTTATTACATGCCTGCCTCACTTTTGCTCTCCTCATCCTTGAGGCAGCTGTTTACACCAGCCATGTCAGGCTGCAGAATCAAGCCTGTCCAAGCTTAATTCTCTCAAGTGCGTAGAGAAAGGTGACAGCTTCATGCTTCTGAAAACTCAGGCTAGACATAATTAGTTGGAACTATGTAAACTTAAAGCAGAGCATGAGAGAACTTCATATCCTCTAGAGTGGGGATACCTAGTCTTGTCTTTTTTGAGGGCCATGTCAGCAACATGATATGAACATATGGGCTGCACCTTAGGCTGTGTCTCATAGCAGCTGCTTCCTAGAATGGATAGACAAGTGCTATATCACTGCTTGACCTACTCGACTTCAAATAGCAGTGGGAAGGGTGATAGCTAGGGCTAGTCCACCAAATAAGTACCAGGATTAGGCAGGATTTTATTGGGAGATGAGCCTGAGCGTTGTGGTCGCATTGCCCACTAGAAATAGAAAGCTTGAGCACTTGTAAAAAGTGCAGTAATACTTTGGAAAAATGACTCTCTTTAAAAAGGCACCCTGGAGAACGTTTATGATTTCTGCTTTGCAAGCTTACTCTGGGGTGTCAAAAACAAGCTGTATTCTTTTGGTCTTGTTCACTAATAATAAACACCTGAAAATTTAATTAGAAATTCTGTGAATCACACACAGGTCAGAATAGAATTTAGATCTCTCTAGTAGAACTATTGCTTCTTTCTTAACCATGTTGTGCAACAGAAGTAAAAATAATAAAGCAGTCTAGACTGTGCTTGAGAGAGCTGTTATGATCCTTAGGCTATACTGTTGTGTCCCCCTTCTCATGATCTTAGGGAATCAAAAGTTCCCAAGTCCTCTCCCATGAAGTTTAATAATAGTTAACTTATTTTCTGTTAAAGATGCTCTGGAGATTAATATAACCCTTGTAAAAATCATGTTACAATTTTGGATATCGTAGAATTAGGTGAAAGTATCTGACTTCCTAGAATGCAAGTCTGACCTTTTTTTACTTGTTACCTTTTAATTGTCCTATGGAAAGGAGATTGATTAGAAGTACAGTAAAACTCTGATAGTCCGGCATCCAACTGTTCGGCACTCCCAATACTCCGGCATCAAAATGCCAAGCGCTCCTGACCGGCTGATTAAAAAGCCTGCTGCTCAGCACACATGCTGGCTGTAACCAGAGGGAGCATAAGGTTGGGGGAAAGGGGAAGGGAGTGGGATCATGTTACAGTAGGGAGAAGAGCATTTTGCTTCAGGGGAGGGCAGGGGGGGGAGAGGGTGAAGGATCAGGTTACAGCACGGAGAAGAGGAGAGAGTGGGGGAGATTGTTTCCTGGCCAGCTGTTAAACCTGGGGCTGTACCAGACCTCCTGATTCTCCAGCAAATCTGATAATCCAGCACCACATAGGTCCAAAAGGTGCCGGATTATCGGAAGTCTACTGTATTTGGGTGTGGATAGCGGTAAAAGAGCAGATAAGAGATGGATTCTGGATTTTGTTTTTCAGAGCACATTGAAGACTGTGAATGTTCAGGCCCTACCAGATAAAGGTGAAAGACTATTAAAGCAAGTGCAGGATTTGGAAGCTGCACTCAGTGTTCTCAGCCTCTCAACAGCAGAAAGTACAGAGGAGGGTAAGATGGGTTGTCAGAATTTTGTAAAGTGTTATGTCCAGCCATGGTGTTTATAAAAAGTGTAAGTTCATATGTGGCTTGCACATATAGACCCATTGGAATACTAAGAAGCTGAACGCACCATATTAACTGAAAATCAATTAAGGATTGTATTAAATTTTTCTTGTTCGTTAGTGTTGATTTTTTTTTTTTTTTTTTTAAATTGGGAGGCATTTTTCTCTAGTGACTAGAGCACATGACTGACTGGACTCCAGAATTTCTGGATTTTGTTCCAGCTCAGCCAGTAACTTGACTGTATGATTTAAGTCAAGTTTTATATGCTGGCTGTGTCTGACCAGTATCCTAAGAGTTACTTTTTCTCTCTGATGAGAGCCTTACTTTTTTGTACAAGATATTTACCTTATTTTGCCTCAAGTGTACAACGTGCTAAACTTCCACTGTCATTTTGTTGCCAGATGTGGCTAAGTAGATATTTCTGGAGTTTCTTCATAATCTAGTTAACAGTATTAATTGCCTGTGGATGAGATAAGTATGTGTCACCACCTCAATATCTATCAAATATCTATAGTTACATCATGTTCTATTTTTAATTTGTATTAATGAAAAGAGCCAGATTGACAGCTCCAGAAATTATAGTTTTGTAACAGCAAAATGGGTAGCTTCAGAGCCAGCTAGTATGCACAATCCTTTCCATGGAGGTAGTTCCAGCCCTGAGCTGGAAAGATCACTTACTGGAGGCAGAAGGTAGCTCGGATTCACCAGGCCACTTGTTCCTATGCACTTGTGCATGCTCAGAGTGTCAAGAAGGGCACGCCTTGTAACATGGACGGATCCACTGGGAACAGAACTGAGAGTCCCATGTCTCAAATAGGTCACTTGGTTAAGTGAAATGTTTTCAGCCTTCTCCACTGTGCAATAGTGGCTTATAGGTGAGATACTTTGAAGTCTGTTCCCAAGCCATTAATATTGAATGTTTCCCTTCTCACACAGGGAACAATGTGAGCAGTGACAATCAGGAAGAATCTCTGTGCAACCCATTCAGTAGGACAACCACTGAACCAAGGACTGTGCATTTGAAAAATCCACAGTCATTCCAGGATTCGCTTGCCAAAAGCTCTCTAGAACTACATGGGTGCAGCTCAGCTCCCTCTCTGGGACCCAGTCAATACTACAGTCATGTCTACGGAGGTAAAGTTGGGTGAGCAACAAGAAATTAGGCCTACCTAGTGGCTTGCAATGGACTTTTTTTCATATTAAATAGCATAATCAATCACCAGTTTGGAGGGAATCCTAATTTCTGTGGATGAGCAAGAACTTCTTATTCCAGTAAATTTCTAGATGCTTTCTTATGCAGAATCTTAGTATAGAGAAAAGTACAGTGAGGTATCTTGTGGAGTAAATTCTGTCAGAAGGAATATCTAGATGCATCAGAGGGTACATCTACAGAGCAACTTTATTTCGAAATAACGTAGTCCGAGTCTACTCAGAAGGCAGTTATTTCAAAATAATGTCAAAATACTGTCAAGCTGGAGGACTTCTTACTGCGACTCCCGTAACCCTCATTGTATGAGGAATAAGGGAAGTTGGAGAAAGAGTGCTCTATTTCGAAATAAGTGCTGTGTAGATGCTCTCCATTTTGAAATAAGCTACGCAAATTGTCACAGCTCAATTTGCGTAGCTGATTTTGAGTTAAGCCCTGCTGTGTAGAAGCACCCAGGGAGTCAGAAACTTTGTTTTGTTAGGTTTCTGTCAAGCTGCTGTTGTATTCCTTCATTAAGCAGAGTGTATATCTCAGTATGCTATTCTCCATCCTGAACCAAGTAGAGAACTCTATAGGTGAGTGTTTGGCAACTTATAAGGTATATGAAAACACTTAACTCTGTGTTGCCCATAGGCATTAGGCAGTGTGAACAGATCAATCCTTACAGAATGGATTGATTTAAATCTGTTTAAATAATCATTTTGAATTTTTTTTTTTTTTTTTTTTGCATTTCACTTTTTAGATTTTTCTAAAGAAAGGATTCTTATTGGGTAGTAACCAATAAGATGTTTGTTTGCCACTATCACTTTTGCACTACACTTTGTACTTTTTGTTTTGCTAACCAGAATAATATAGCTATATATATTTCTTTAAACAATTATATAGCTTAATTTATATTTGTTCAGATTCTTAATTTTACATTTTATTAAAATGGTGAATGATGCATTTCTTATTTACTAGATTAGGATGAATTTTTACTTATGATTTGTGTTTTGCTGTGGATGGAAATTCAAATCTAGTCAAAAATACACAAAGGCACCATTTTATTTTTTTATTTTAATAAAAGTAAGATACATAAGAAGCTGCATCAACAAGTTTATTAAAGCATGTTTTGCATTTGAAAGTGATCCATAAAACAAAGGAAAGATTTTCTGCAGATAGTGAGTTGAACTGATTTAGTTTCTGGTCACCTTATCCTTTTAGATTTTAAAGCTAATAGAGCTAATCCTCTCTCTCCTAGTTTTTATTCATGGATTGGAAGAGGAAAACAAATTATCTCCTTTTTTCAATTCCCAGTTGGTTTTTGAATGAAGATTTCAATGAAATGATCACTGAAATGAGTTAGTTGAATAAACTGAAAATAAAAAATATACAGCCGGTCCCCAAGTTGTTATAGCAGTTACGACCGAAGCTGTCGTAAATGACGGACCCCGAGTTACAAACGCAATCCGCGCTTACGAACAGCGCAGTCGCGTGTAACTCAATGGGGTCCGACTTATGAACAAACAGAGTTACGACCAATTGCTTGGTCCGTAACCAGTTCGTAAGTTGGAGAGAGGCTGTATTTTTCATCTGCACCTATAGCAGAAGCTACTACAGACAAAAGCTGCTTTAGCACTTCAGTAAACTCTGGCTTCAGGGGATTGGCCAGTAACTTGCATTAGTTCAATTACTTGATTTTTCTTTGAAACTTGGCAGCAGACATGTACCGATTAACATTTTTGTATTTAATTCTATGTGATTTTAATAGATTTAAGCTTTAACCTAGGTTGTCAATTTCACATTTAACTTTTAAAAAAATAAACCTCTATTTTAAAAAGTGTGGATAATTTTTTTGTAAGCAAACACCCTGTTTAGTTGTGGTTTGGGAGTCTACAACCATTTAACCACATCTTTTAGCCTCTGAGCCTGTTAGTGAGAATTACCTCTATAACTGTTCTCATTTACTATGTTGTCTCTTCCCAGCGAACTCCAATGCACAGGGTCTGTATGGAGGCAGAATGACTGAAGATCGACTCAGGGCTGTGCGCAGTGCCACAAGTGATGCCATTAACCATCTTCATAGATCTTTAGAGTCCTGCCCCACAGAGGAGTCTGTAGCTGAGGATCCATCTGGGTTGAAGGTGGGCCAATAGCAAGGGAGGGCAATACTCAATTTGGTTCAGTTTCATGTAATTTCCATTATGAAACATGTCAGGGATTATGGTATAAAATGGGTCATGACGACATATTGTCTATTGCTAGACAAATATACTTCCTTGCAGTAATGTACCCTGTACCACGTAAGCCAAGAGGAACATAAGTAAAAAGCAGAACTTATGTCCTCTGCTCCTCCTGCAAAAAATGATAGAAGCTAAATTCAGTACTGTGAGGAAAGTATGAGTCTTCAGTTTTACCAGCAGTTTTTATTCTTCTGTCAGTTATATGGGAACCTTATCATTTTTCTTCAAGGTTGGAAGTCTTAGGAATAGAGGCCATGTCTACGTATGTATTTATGGAGTGCTTTATACAATGAGGTTCTGGCCCTAATTGAGTTCTCTGTGTGTTGCTCTAGTCTAAATATTACATACAGAAACTATGTTGAAAGAAAGTTAGGGTGGAAAGTCACTCATTCAGCAGGTAGGAAATGCCAGATTAAAGTGAAAGATGTCAGGCGGATGGGCCTGTGGCTGAAGTCCTCTGTCTGTACGTGGCATGGGAAGTACAGTGCATTCCTCTCCACAGTTCTACTCCTCAGTCTTCTGCTGATTTATCACCTTAATTACAATTCTCTGTGTTGGTCTCAGACATGGCTGCCCAATTCCTATGCTCTTTGTATGTATTCTAGCCTACCATAGAATTTAGCCCAAGCTGTACTGTAGATTAGTGCATTCCCTGTTGAATAGTCTGTGAAGGGTGTAGCTGCAGTTAGCTGCAAAATTTTGCAACTGTGTGCCACACAACTTTTAGCAATTCATAGTTTCATATAAAGACTGAAAAGATCATTAGACCATCTAGTCTGATCTCCAGCACATCTCAGACTATTAAATTTCACCCAGTTATTGCTGTATTGAGTCCAAAACATGACTTAGCTAAAGCACATCTTCCAGAAAAGCATTAATTGGAAGACTCCAAGAAATGGAGGACTCCTCCCCCTTCCCTTTGTAGTTTATTCCAGAGGTTAATCTTTCTCTCTGGTTTAAAAGCTAGTGCCTTCTTTCTAATTTGAATTTAGTTTGGTTTCAGCTTTAAGCTATTTGTTCTTTGTTATGCCTTTCTCCACTAGGATATAGAGCTCTTATATACAGGCAGTCCCCGGGTTACGTACAAGATAGGGACTGTAGGTTTGTTCTTAAGTTGAATCTGTATGTAAGTCGGAACTGGCGTCAGCCGCGGCTGAATCTGATCAGTTTCAACCGTGGCTGAATCTGGATGCCAGTTCTGACTTACATATGGATTCAACTTAAGAAACCCAGGCGTCCCCAAGTCAGCTGCTGCTGAAATTGATCAGCGGCTGATTCCAGGAAGCCCGGGGCAGAGCAACTCTGCCTCGGGCTTCCTGTAGTCAGCCGCTGGTCAGT